GAGTGCCAAGAGTGCCAAGAAAGCCAAGAGTGCCAAGAGTGCCAAGAGAGCCAAGAGTGCCAAGAGTGCCAAGAGTGCCAAGGGTGCCAAGAGTGCCAAGAGTGCCAAGAAAGCCAAGAGTGCCAAGAGTGCCAAGAAAGCCAAGAGTGCCAAGAGAGGGAAAGGGGAAGGGGCTCAAAGCTCTCTGATCTTTCTTAAGTAGGTGTGGCTGAAAAAGCCACAGCCCAAAACAATTAAAGGCTGATCAGCCAACTCAGAACCCAAGACATGACCAAAGGGACAAAACAATAAGGCCAATGTGCCCTAGGCACATGACAGCACATACACAACAGAAATACCCCATACAAATTTCACACAAATCTAAAATGTATTATTTGTATAAGTGCAACCTTGAAGTTGTTGCCCTTTGCTCTGTTTTTCATTGAGCCAGGGGAAACTCCTGCCTGTGTGGCTGGTTGTTCCACCCACACATCAGCAGGAGGTTTCCTCCATCCAGTTTTCTTTTTGATTAAATCAAAGGAGCAACTCGACCAGCCTCTCCTGTTTCTGTTACATAAAACAATCTTTACTAAACGTCAAGAGAGTAATGGCACCTCACACTCCTGTTGACTCATAATGGAGAAAGAAAAGGTGTGACCTGTAGGTATTACAGATATTACTGGTAAATTAAGTCAACAGTTTTAAGTGTTTTATGGTCCGTTACAAAAAGACAGGAGACAGAACTGGAAGTGGCAGAAATTACAATGTTCAGGTTCTTCTTGGGCGAGACAAGGATGGATGAGATTAGGGATGAGATCATTAGAGATACAGCACAGGTTGAAAAACTGGAAGATAAAGAGGGACCAGACTGAGATGGTTTGGACATGTCCAGAGGAGGAACAGTAGGTATATTAGTAGAAGGATGTTAGAAATGCAACAAAGAGGAGATAGATGGATGCAGTTAGAGAGGACATGGAGGTAGTTGAAGTGAGGACAGAGTGAGACAGAGGAGGACGACTCACTGTAGAGACCCCTGAAGAGGGAGCAGCTGAAAGAAGAAGATATAAATGCAAACACTTTGAACTTCATCTGATTACACTTTGCCACCTAATCCATTTCTTTGACTTGTTCAGTCTAAATTAATTCTGAGTCAAAAATTAAAAAAATAAAGATAAAATGTCCCAGAATAAAATTTAAAAACACAATACAGTATACAAAAAGTTAAAAAGTTAATTTGTCCTTGGAAAGAAATTAAAACCTACAAGGTCTCTAATTAGAAGCAGTAGGTGAAAACTAGAGTAACCGCCTCCCCCACCACCACCACCACCACCACCACCTCTGCAGGCGACATGAGTTGATTTCCATCTATAAGATTTATCGCTTTCGGATCGAATTTGCTTTTACTTTTGTTTTGTTTGTAGTTTCTGTCTACTTTCAGTCTTTTTAGACATACTTTCGTTTTTACTTGCACTTTATTACTTTTTAAATCTGTGTTATAAAGTATTACTGGACATTTAGAGCTATTTGCTCCTTTCAGTGTACAAAAATCCAGACAGATCAGAGAGTTGGTTTGCATAATAAGAAACTTATGGCATTAATAAAACCTGTAAACTGCTTTAATAAACTCAAATTATATAATTTTGAGAAAGTAAATTTTAATAAAACCTCCATTGTCCAAATACATTTCTAAAATAATTGCTTGCAGGATAATAAAACAAGTTTTAAATACAACTAAAACCTTTTTTTTACTCATATAAAATAAAAAGTACAATTCCTTTTTTCCTTGATTCAAATAAATGTTTGTGTAATTTAATTTTATCACTGACAGACATCACGAGACTCCTCATCATTCAAATGGCTGATTTAGTTGCTGTGCCAACTATTTTTTAACTGAGAGTCTGAAGATTAGTCATAACATGAGTAGATATACATGTGTGTCATTTTAGGTTACAACATGTGACGTTCTAAAGCATTTTGAGGAAGTGAAACCAAAGACAGTGAATGGCAGAAGTCACGTTTAAGATGAGTTTTTTTTATATATAATCCGTTTACCTCAGTGGAAACCAATCAGCTTCCATGAGTTAGGATTTCTGAAGTTCTATAAATAGAGTTGTTGACGCATCACTGGAAAATTAATGCAACGTATCCGATTTCATGTCACAAGACTAAACATCAGTTCAAAACTCAATACGCCAAACAATAATGGAAGATAAAAGACATCATGAATGAGGAGAGAAAACATTCAGATCATTCAGACTGAAAAGATGAAACGATTCAAAAGAGAAGAGTCTGTCCAGAGGACCTGACTGAACCTCGTCAGACATTCAGATCATTTATTCAGAGAACTGTGATACAAATGAAAGCATAGTTTAATGATTTTTTAAAACACAAGTTTGGAAAACTGCTGTTTTTTAAATAAACATTGTAATTATTTATCCACCATAGCATTTTTCAATATTTATTCTTTATGGTATTCATTGCATTGCATTATATATATATATATATATAGTGCCTTGCAAAAGTATTCGACCCCCTTGAACTTTTCAACCTTTTGCCACATTTCAGGCTTCAAACATAAAGATATAAAATTTTAATTTTTTTATGAAGAATCAACAACAAGTGGGACACAATCGTGAAGTGGAATGAAATTTATTAGATGTGTCAAACTTTTTTAACAAATAAACAACTGAAAAGTGGGGCGTGTAATATTATCCGGCCCCCTAGCGTTAATACTTTGTAGCGCCGCCTTTTGCTGCAGTTCCAGCTGCAGTTCCAGCTGCAGTTCCAGCTGCAAGTCTCTTGGGGTTTGTCTCTATCAGTGTTGAACATGAAGACACTGAAATTCTTGCCCATTCTTTCCAACAAAACAGCTCGAGCTCAGTGAGGTTGGATGGAGAGCGTTTGTGAACAGCAGTCTTCAGCTCTTTCCACAGACTCTCGATTGGATTCAGGTCTGGACTTTGACTTGGCCATTCCAACACCTGGATACGTTTATTTGTGAACCATTCCATTGTAGATGTGTCTTTATGTTTTGGATCATTGTCTTGTTGGAAGATTAATCTTTGTCCCAGTCTCAGGTCTCTTGCAGACTCAAACAGGTTTTCTTCCAGAATGGTCCTGTATTTGGCCCCATCCATCTTCCCATCAATTCTGACCATCTTCCCTGTCCCTGCTGACGAAAAGCAGGCCCAAATCATGATGCTGCCCCCGCCATGTTTGACAGTGGGGATGGTGTGTTCAGGGTGATGAGCTGTGTCGCTTTTACGCCAAACATATCGTTTTGCATTGTGGCCAAACAGTTGGATTTTGGTTTCATGTGACCAGAGCACCTTCTTCCACATGTTTGGTGTCTCCCAGGTGCTTGTGACAAACTTCAAACAACACTTTTTATGGATATCTTTGAGAAATGGCTTTCTTCTTGCCACTCTTCCATAAAGGCCAGATTTGTGCAGTGTACGACTGATTGTTGTCCTATGGACAGACTCTCCCACCTCAGCTGTACATCTCTGCAGTTCATCCAGAGTCATCATGGGCCTCTTGGCTGCATCTCTGATCAGTCTTCTCCTTGTTCCAGATGAAAGTTTAGAGGGACGGCCGGGTCTTGGTAGATTTGCAGTGGTCTGATACTCCTTCCATTTCAATATGATTGCTTGCACAGTGCTCCTTGGGATGTTTAAAGCTTGGGAAATCTTTTTGTATCCAAATCCGGCTTTAAACTTCTCCACAACAGTATCTCAGACCTGCCTGGTGTGTTCCTTGGTCTTCATGATGCTCTCTGCGCTTTGAACAGAACTCTGAGACTATCACAGATCAGGTGCATTTATACGGATACTTGATTACACACAGGTGGATTCTATTTATCATCATCAGTCATTTGGGACAACATTGGATCATTCATAGATCCTCACTGAACTTCTGGAGTGAGTTTGCTGCACTGAAAGTAAAGGGGCCGAATAATATTGCACGCCCCACTTTTCAGTTTTTTATTTGTTAAAAAAGTTTGACACATCCAATATATTTCATTCCACTTCACGATTGTGTCCCACTTGTTGATTCTTCACAAAAAAAATAAAATTGTATATCTTTATGTTTGAAGCCTGAAATGTGGCAAAAGGTTGAAACGTTCAAGGGGGTCGAATACTTTCGCAAGGCACTGTAATTTCAAGTTTCAACAAAGTTACATATGTTGCACATTTTGTACTTGTTAGTCTCTTTGTGTCAGCTACATAAAAACTGACTTGTGTGACGTGTTTGTGTGACGTGTTGTGACTGACTTTGTGAGAATCTGTAAAGAAGATATCCCGCCACAGCAAAAGATCCCATCTGCACATTACTGCCGCTCATCCACCAACCTAAACAAAAAGGAAGAGGCAGGAAACCAGATTCACAAAAATCATGAATTTGATCTTTAATCCAAACTTTATTATTATTATATCCTCAAACTTCAGATTTTAGTGCCAGCTTGCCAATGGCCCAAATTATTTATCCATCCATCCATACATACATACATACATACATACATACA